CCTGCGACTGCAACTCGAGCGCAAGGTTCGGCGCATGGGTAGAGTCCCTTGCCCACAAGACGACGACGCCATCTCCAAACTCCAAACCGGCGATACGAAGACTGTACAGACACAGTTACGACGGCAGCTGCAGCTTTACGCACACGTTCCGCGGTTGCGTCTTCCACTATTTAGCGACCCTAAACTCACTTTCAATATACCTAATATCCACAACTTTCCTAACCGCTTTACTCCCCCACCACACGCACCTCTCGTAATGCTCCGTCGCATCCTCTTTCCACTCCTTAATAACGTCTTACCCACATCAAACTCATCCCCGACCCCACCCTCCGCCTCGCGCTCGAACCACTCATTCAGCTCAACCTGCGCGAACAGAGCGGCAAACTCCTCCTCATTCCCGACTCACCGGACCCTTTCCCTCACTGCAAAGTTCCCCACGCGCGATAAACTTCGCTCTTCCTCCACGCTTTGCGCGTCCAGAAACTCAAAGTCCTCGCTCTCCGCGTCCGCAAAGTCTTCCAGGACTTCCAGGAGCAGGAACACCGTCTTGCGGCCGGCAGCGGCCGAGTGGGGCTCGCCGACGGTGGAGTCGCGGCGCTGCGACGTGATGCACGACGCGCCGGTCTCGGCGTGCTCCAGGAACGTCCTAGAGGAGCTCTAATATTTTAGGGTGCAGCGTACAGCGCCCTGTGATTTTTAGAGGCGGAAGAGAGTGCGACGTAATTGAAACTGTGTCAATCAGATAAACCAAATCCCTGTGCAAGACGGTCATTCAGGTTCCGTATAAGCGTAAGATTGCCAAATGTGCGTGATTAAGGCTTTTGTGAGCGCCACATGCTTGGAATAATCCCCACGATGGTGCCCTGTCGACCCAATTCTAACTGCAGAGGTAAAGCACCCTGTACCGCCGTTCTCACCATCAGCAATTGGCACAATGATGGCCTTAGAGTCGGCAGCTATCAGAGCGTCAATCTCCGCATCAGATATCCTCACGCCTCCGGTCCCATCGCCGGAAAATCCTCCTCTGCGCTCTTCGATCACATTGTGAAGTATGACACAGGCAGAGACAATTTCCTCCATACCACTTGCGCTCCAGAGCCTCCCGGGGGAATATAAAATATTCCAGCGAGCGAACAGGACCCCAAAACCCGTTCTACTTCTTTACGAACTGCCTCTTGTCGCATTCGAAACATTTGCGTTCGCGGATTTTGTGTCTCTGGCAAAGTCTTGACAAAAACCTTGTAGTTCGGATATATTCCGTCAGCCAAGTAATAGAACCAGTCAAACCTTTTTTCTGCAATTACACTTTCCACGCGGAAAGGAGGGTAGAACTCGCTTAAAACCTCTGAAAAATGTGGGCTGACATCAAGGATGTTGATGTCGTTCATGCCTTCAGGACCAAAGGCACAATGCCATATCCAAAGATCCAAATCGCAAATAACTTCCATTCGTAGTGTAGAGACTTTTTCTTTTCCTACGTTATGACCTTGATGTGCCTTTGGTGCATTTTTCCAATCCCATCCTACACAGTCCACACATCCCATACAGCCCGGAAATCCTACCTGTGCAAATCGCACTTCAATGCGCTGAAGGTCTACTTGCGTCGGCGCACGCAGGTATTCAATTTCAAATGCAGAAACCACACCCCGGCAAAACTCTCGGAGCGACTTCAGAGCGGTAGTCTCACTCATTCTACAGTACTCATCCACAGCGTCACCTGGAATGCCGTAGGACAGCTGCCCTCATGGAAGCAACAACCTTTTGCAGCGGATGGATTCCTTTTCGTCCTGTACAGTCCGAATCAATTCACAGTCTTATGTAGGCGTTTCTCTCCATGACACCGCCGTACACGCGGAGAAAAAGCTCTTTCCGCATTCTGAACCTTCTTTCGAAGAGGTCAGCACTGTAAACAGGACCCCGCTCTCCCGATCCATCATCCCTCATGCTCCGCTCGTCCCAAAAGTAGTCCAGCATTATGCGGCGATGCCCCACCCGAAAAGTCTCGCAAGACGTTTGGACTACGTCCAGGACGGGATCCGCCGTGCTTTCCGTCATTCTCTTCGTTAATCTGATCTTGTGCCACAATAATTGCGACAGTATCGACAATGTCGTCGTCACTGTCATGCACGAGTTCGTCTAAGTTGAAGTTCATGGTCGTTCTGTAGAAATACGAAACAGGCAGTTAGAGAGAGGGGCGGGGGAATTACGAAGGGAGGTGAGGGGACAGGCGTGCAAGAGCAGAAGATATACCATTAGACCGTCACTGGTGGAGAGGGGTCCCTTTTTAGCTCCATCTATCAATAGCATACAAGGGGGTACCCCCCGTTTTTGAACAGACCTCCTCAAAATTGAACAAAGCGATAATTTCTAAATTTTAACAACAAATGTAACATTTCATTGCTGTTAAGCCTCATTGAGTGATCAAAGCCATCTCAAATGAACCGGTAACTTGGCGGCAAATGCAAACAGACAAAAATGGCGCCCATTTTCGAATTGAGCGATGCAAATAACCCTTGAAACTTTGGTCTGGCCTCCTATCCGATGCCAAAAAAATCGTCAGGCCAACTCCGGTCTCAAGGTCGCCACTCCCTCTGTAACGGTCACGAAAATGACGAGAGCAAAGCGCTTGTCAAAGAAAGAGAAATGCTTTGAAAGAGCACTACTTGCGGTTGACAGGGGCATGGATCGCCGTCGAGCATCCTTCATTGCTCGCATGCCCCTCTCCACATTCCAGTACAGACTTATGCACAAGGATGACATTCGCTCACCACGAACTGCACTGACCTCTGGCGAAGAAGACACCATCGTGCCACTTATCAATCGATACTCAGCGAAAGGTTTCCCTCTCAGTAACGAGGATATAGCCGATGCTGTGGAAATTTTAGTTTCATCGCTCCCGCAAAGTCGACAACAAAAACTGCCTTTTGTCAACAACAGGCCCGGGAAAAAGTTTTTGTATAACTTTCGCAAGCGTCACAGTGACACCATACAGTTCAAAAGATACTCTAAAGAAGAGGAAATAAGGTGGAAGTCGTGCAATGCAGAAGTACTGACGACGCACTTTGCAGCCATTCACAAAATAATTGCAGACAATAGAATAGACTGCTACCATATATGCAACCTCGATGAGACTGGCATGTCCCCGAACCGAGACTGCCTCAAATCTTCACATAAAAAAGCGTACGTTACACACTCATGCCATCCCGTGAAACGTTCTCCAGAATTTCGGAACATTGATCGTGTAACTATGATGCCAGTTGTCTTTGCAAGTGGGTGTGTTGGGAGGCCATTGTTCGTAGTGAAAGGAAAAAGTATCAAGTTTCGCGTTGTGAAGTCCGACGACCAATCGGTGGTCCAAACAATTGCTGACTGTCTACCGGATGGCAGCCTCGTGACCTGTCGTGACGACGTAGCAGGTGTGGATTCTACCAACTTTGCCGAGTGGTCAAAAGCATTCGTGAAGGATAATGAGTACAAATTATCACAGGGAAAAATATTGCTGCTCATGGATGGATACCGTAGTCATATGCGTTACAAAACCTTGAGCTTCTTGCACAGCGCAAACGTGATAGCCTATGCCCTCCCAGCGCATACTAGCGGTGTTACTCAACCACTGGATGTTTCCGTATTTGGGGCTTTCAAAAGCAAGTTACGTGACCTTGTTGATGGAATGTCTACAGCTGGCGCGGTCAATGTTTACGATCAATTCGATTTTTTGAAGTTGGTGACAGCGGCGTATGCCAAATCTTTTACTCGTTCCAATATAGCCTCTGGTTTTAGCAAGGCCGGCATCTACCCTGCCAATTTGTCCTATGTGTTTGCAGGGCCTAGGCCATTGTCTTCTATACACTGCGACAAAATCATGAAGGCTGAAGATATCGAGCGCATTCTTGAAACGAAAAGAATGCAGCTTCGAAACAATATTGGTCTCCAGCCCGCAGTTATTCGCAATGGATTTTTGGACACTACGGCAGGATTGTGCCTCACTTCGAGCGAGGCATTACGCATGGCCAGAAGTAAAGATGCCATGGACATGGCTAAAAAGGGAGAAAAGGAACGCCGAAAAGCGGAAAAGGCTGAAGGCGAAGCCGCATTATATGATAAGGTGAAGAGAATGCGACTGGCGCACGACAAAGAAGCCCTTGCATATCGTGTGCGTGAATATGGTGTGAGAACCGTCTTGCCGAGACCGATGAAAGAACGCCGCATGCTGGCAAAACGCATGGTAGCAGAGAAGAAAGTGCACCGCAGCATAATCATTGCCAGAAGTAGTTCAATGTGACCGTCACACGTCATCGCAACCTTTTTTCTGATTAAAAAATGCATGCTAAATTTGGATCAGCCAATTACATAGTTGTACAAATCAGAGGGGGAAAGTTGTCGTTTTGACAGTGACTACAGGCCTTCACCTACTTTGCAACGACCCCCAAGTTTTCCTGATCCACATATTGACTGGTTGCATCAGAGCATCAAGCCTTCCATGTCCACCAGAAAGATTTACAAAACGGCGATGTGAAGCTGATTTTTTTAAAAAATATTGATTTTGTTCCAAAATGAGGGGTACCCCCTTGTAGACCCGCGGCCGAGTGCGGTCTAATTTTTGACTGGGAGCCAGTTGTAATTCTCCACCTGGCATTTTGGACAAATACATTATATCCCATAGACCCTCGCCAGTGGAGATGCTCTAAATAAACATGTAAGGTATATGATAAGGTAGTCTCCGCGGCAATGCTTCCCGAGTCCGCGATGTCGCAACTCGAGTCCCGCGTCACGTGCGCCCAATTCCTCACCGCCCCCTCCATACGCCGCGCCCCAACTGCGCCGCAACCCCACCTCCTACTTATTAATGAGCAAAACCCTCACCGCCACGCGCGCGCACGCGCCCACCCGACACACCCCAGCCTACGCACCGCGCCACGCCCGTGCCGCCTCGACTTGCCGCCGGCCCCCGAGCCTCCCGCCCCCGAGCCTCCCGCCCCCCGAGCCTCCCGCGCCGCCCGATGCATCTCTTCACGCGTCGCAAGGGCGCGCCCGCGCCGCGCAAACCGTCGCCGCAGCTGGTCAAGCGCCGCGTCACCATCCAGCTGGCCCTGGTGGACCGCCCGCTCATGACCGAGACCGAGTTCCTGGTCGCGCCGCGCTACCGCTCGCTGCGCCTGCTGGGCGCGGGGAGCTACGGCATCGTCGTGTCCGCGCTGGACGCCTCCCCATCGCGCGCGCCCCCGCCGCGCCGCGTCGCCATCAAGAAGATCCTGGCAGCCTTCGCCAACGCGCACATGGCCCGCCACGTCCTGCGCGAGCTGCGCCTGCTGCGCCACCTGCACCACCCGCACGTCGTCCAGCTGCTCGACATCGACCGCCCGCCGGCCTTCGCCGCCTGGCAGGACGTCTACCTCGTCACCCCGCTCCTCACCACCGACTTGCGCGACGCCCTCCTGCAGGGCCGCCTGGAGCACCCGCCCACCCAGAAGAAGGTCGCCTATCAGATGCTCCTCGCCCTCGAGCACCTCCACTCGCAAGGCATCATGCACCGCGACATCAAGAGCCGCAACCTCCTCTTGGACGACCACTACAACCTCAAGCTGTGCGACCTCGGCGAAAGCAGGTTCTACTCCAAGGCCAACCGCGACGACGACATCGCCCCCCCCGTGCGCGAGCCGGAGCTCACCGGCGGCGTCAGCACCGTCATACAGAGCGCACCGGAGCTCTCGCTCGGCGCCCCGTACGACGCAGAGGTCGACATCTGGGCCGCCGGCTGCGTCATCGCCGAGATCGTCCGCCCCGGCCACGCATACCTCTTCGATTCCACGGGAAAGCAGTCCCATGTACAGGAGATCATCGACATGGTCGGCTACCCGTCTGACGACATCCTGGCCATCCTCCCGGACTATGGGCAGTGGTATCTCAAGCGCCAGCGCCGCCGGAAGGGCGCCAAGAACCGCATCGCCGACGCCATGCGCGAGGGAGTCGACCCGCTGGTCGTCGACTTGCTAGAGAACATGATCCGCTTCTCGCCCAAGGACCGCATCTCCGCCCGCGCAGCCCTCGACCACCCCTGGTTTGACGACGTGCGTAAGCCGCAGCCCACCGTCGCCAAACCGTACGACTTCGCCCGGTCAGAACCCCCGAGTAAGACGTCCAAGGCACAGCTGAAGAAGCTCATCTGGGAGGAGGTCGTCGCGTTTCATCCGGAGGCTGCGGACGGTTAGGCACAGCCAGGAAGGAGGCGCCGAGCGACCGACTTCCCTGTCAACCATCCCACCTGCTTTTCTTTTCTTCGCCTTTTCTCTGCGCTTATTATTTTTTAATTAAATTACTCATGTGAGTAATTTAATTAAAACATCGCGGCTGTGACCAGCCGCGTTTTCCCGCCCGGCAACGCCCTCCCCCCCCCTCTTCGCGCACCATCCCTCTTCACCGCACACCCGCTTCCCAAGCTCCGCCGCTTCCGTCCCGCAAAGCCTCCCGCGATGACGTCCTACCGCGCCTCGCTCGGCACGCGCGGCGAGCTGCGCCGCATGGCGGCGGAGGCCGAGATCGCCACGATCGAGCGCGTGCGCCCTTGGCGCCGCCGCGTCCAGCCGTGCGCGCTGGCGCCGCACGTCATCGTCCCGCAGTGGATCCGCTCGGAGCTGCCGCCCAAGCCGCCAACCCTGCCCCCGCCGAGATGGGCGCGCGACGTCGCAGCCGGCGTGGTCGCCG